CGAATAAACGGCCCATATGGGCGAGAATAGGCCCATATTCGGCGTGGTTTCGCCGTGTCTCGGCGTTCAATTATCAACACAATTATTCCTTATCACATATTTCATCACAGAAAAATCAAATACTTCAACAAAATACTACAACAACAAATAGTTCAATACAAATTATATAGTTCAACAAATAAAAACTCGTATTTCATCACGCGGCGTCCCCCTTGAGCCTCCATAGGTGCTCAATCAGATCTTTCTGCAGTTGATGATGCACCTGTGGGTCTCGGATCTCCTGACGCGTACTGATATAGGCAGTCCAAGTTGTCGGTAGCTGGTGATCAACTTCGGCTAGAGGACCCTGCCTGTAGTATGGTTCAGTGTCAAACACTGGGTCTTCTTGCTCGCTCTCGATGATCATGTTGTGCAAGATGACACAGCAAGTCATGATCTCCCAAATTTGATCTTTCAACCAGGTCTGAGCGGGGTACCGAACAACAGCGAATCGAGATTGGAGCACACCAAATGCCCGCTCGACATCCTTCCTGCAAGCCTCCTGAAGCTTCGCAAACCAGGCGTTCTTGCCTCCTGCCACAGGGTTTGAGATCGTCTTCACAAATGTCGACCATCTCGGATAGATGCCGTCAGCTAGATAGTACCCCTTGTTGTATTGGTGCCCATTGATCTCGAAGTTCACCAGAGGAGAATGGCCCTCAACGAGCTTGACAAAAACAGGAGAGCACTGCAGCACGTTGATGTCATTGTGAGTTCCTGTCATACCAAAGAAGGAGTGCCAAATCCAGAGGTCCTGTGTGGCTACCGCCTCAAGCACCACACTGCAACCACCTTTGGCGCCTTTGTACATCCCCTGCCAACCAAATGGGCAGTTCTTCCATTTCCAATGCATGCAATCGATGCTTCCAAGCATCCCAGGAAATCCTCTTGCTGCATTCTGGGCTAGGATCCGAGCAGTGTCTTCCGCATTGGGTGTTCTCAAGTATTGTGGCCCAAACACTGCCACCACTGCCCGACAGAACTTGTAGAAACACTCTATGCTGGTGGACTCGGCCATGCGCCCATAGTCGTCGAGTGAATCACTGGGAGCTCCATATGCAAGCATCCTCATCGCTGTCGTGCACTTCTGGATGGAGGTGAATCCAAGAGCGCCAGTGCAATCCATCTTGCACTTGAAGTAGTTGTCGAACTCCCGGATGGAATTCACAATCCTGAGGAAGAGCTTTCGGCTCATCCGATAACGGCGCCGAAATGTTCTCTCGCCATGAATTGGAGCATCGGCAAAGTAGTCGGAGTAGAGCATGCAGTAGCCTTGCAGACGATGCCGGTTCTTTGCTTTCACCCGCCCCGGCGCCGAGCCACCTCGACGCGGCTTTTCATTGCTCGCCAGCAGCTGGTCGAGGGCGGCGAGCACCATTAGATGCTCTTCTTCCTGGACGTCGGCCGCGGCTTCCTCCTCCAGCAGCGCTGAGCTCTTCCTCCTCATCCGAGTCCATCGCCGAGACAGTCAAAACGCCGAACACCTTGCGCTCGGTGGACGTGTACCCGCCATTAAACCGCGCCTCCGCGGCCGGAAACGGCGGCCGGAAACGCCCAGCTGCTGCGGGAGGGGCTGCCGCGGCGAAGCGCTGCTATTTTCCGGCGGGGAATGGCTATCTAGCGGAGTAGGCCGGCGGCCGTTGCCGGGATATAGCTAGTGGTGGCCGAGGGCGCGGGGGGTGCGAGGCGAGTCGGGGGAAGAAAACCTTGACTTTTCCCCTGTCGATGTGGGCCAGGCGTGCTTTTCCCTAGTGCCGGAGCCCCCAACGGCTCCCCGGCGCGCCGGGTTCGGCCTGTGACCGCCGGGCGGAAAAAAGGTCTGAACCGGCGATTTTCGGCGTCCTGGGAGCGCGACTGGCCATTTTTTCGGCGCCGGCGCCGAAAAAGTGGCCTGGGGGACCTGTTGGGGGCGCGGCTGGAGATGCCCTAAGTCACCCCTTTTGCATGGGTCCCACCACCTGCATGATTTTAATTGATATGGGAAGGTGTGTCAGGTGACTTATAAGTCAGGTGACAACCAAACAGACGTAACTTATAAGTCACTGGTTTTAAGTCACCTGACTTATAAGTCAGGTGACTTATTCAAACCAAACAGGCCCTTAGTAGTACTATACCATCCGGTTACTTGTGATGAACTGATGGTGCCAATTGCCAACTACCAGAACCAAATTTACGTACTCCTGTGAGTAGTTTGACCTTGATTTTTGCTACTACCTTGTCATGCCCACCCGCCCTCCGGTGGATTGCCCCGAGATGGGATCATTTAAGGGGCAGATCAGCAATTTTATTAAGCACAAGTAGATTCATTGACTCGAGGCACGAGTCCAGCACCGCACTGCACGCCATGCATTCAGATCTAAAGATGAACGTGCGTGCACGACGCCTCCATCAACCACCCAATATAAATTCCATTTCTCACACGACCTCCAGGTCTCCTTTACAATGCGAAAGTTTGCCATGTCACAGCTTCTCTCCATCCTCTTCTTAATCCCATCTCGGTGTTCTGAGTTGATGCAGAATTCCCAGCATCAGCCACCATCCATCAGTTGCTAGGGACACCACAAAGACAAAGCACACAAGGAGAGAGAGAAAGTAAGAGAGCATCAATGGCCGACTTCGCGCTTGGGTTAGCCAAGACGGCGGTGGAGGGGACCCTGAGCAGGGTCCAAACCGCGATCGATGAAGAGAACACACTGCAGGCGGCGGCGCGGCAAGACCTGGCCTTCATCACTGGGGAATTCCAGATGATGCAATCCTTTCTGGAAGTCGCCAGTAAGGACCGTGTGAGGAATAAAGTGGTGAAGATTTTGGTGCGGCAGCTCCGTGACCTAGCCTTCGATGTCGAAGACTGTGTCGAATTTGTTATCCACCTGGATAACGAGTCGACCTGGAAATGGGTTTGGCGCATGGTGCCCTCCTGCATTGCACCACCACGGACTCGGGACCTCGACGACGCTGTCGGTGAGTTGAAGCAGCTCAAGGTGAGGGTCGAGGAGGTCAGCCAGAGGAACACCCGCTACAACCTCATAAGCGACTCCGGCTCCAATCCCGTCCCACATTCACCGGCAGTGCAGCTGGCCACCACAAGTCCATCAAGAATGGACATCTTGATGGAGCTATGGGAGGCAAATGGGAAGCACCGCGGTTTTTGCACCCTTCAGAAGTTGATATCCACTGAGGGCAATGCCCTTCAGGTAATCTCTTTGATGGGAAGTGCAGGATCTGATACTGAGGGGACACAGATCATTAATAAGGCTTACTGTGACCCCAAAATCTGCCACCTATTCAAAACCCGTGCATGGGTAAGGCTGACGCATCCATTTAACCCCGACAAGTTCCTTAAGAACTTGCGGACTCGGTTGCAAGCCAGCTCTCAGTCTCGCCAAGCTGTCAATTTCAAGGGCAAGATCTTAGAAGATGATCCGATGAAGCAATTGGCTGAGCAGAGATATCTTGTAATCCTTGAAGGAATATCCAGTGTTGTAGAGTGGGAGATCATCAGACTGTACCTGCCAGACAATAACAATGGCAGCCGGATTGTCGTCTCCACCAAGCAGATAGGGGATGCAATTTTTCTCGCGGGGAGGCCATACCGAGTATCAGTGCTCAGAGAGCTCACAGATGGCCATTATCTATGTGCATTCTATAACAAGGTAATGCTCTAAGCCGAAAACTCGAATTACTTACTAGTATGTACTCGTACTTCGTATTCCTTCCGTCCCAAAATAAATGTCTTAATTTTAGTATAACTTTGTACTAATGTTTGTATAGTTGAGACACTAATTTTGGGACGTAGGGAGTATTAAATTACTTCGGCCTTTTAATTTTCTAGATTCATTTCGTGTCACAGCATGTAGGTGTGAACGTATTGATGCTTGTGGCGTTCTTCTAAAGATTTAAGTATATTAATTCAAATAAATATAGTGTGTATTAAAATCATTTCTTAAGACTCAAATGGTAATTCAGTTATATTTTATACTTGTATTTGCGGAGGACGAAAAGAAATGTAAGATAGGACGAATTCTAAAGCAGTCGCTGTCGTTGCCGCTGCCCGTCCCTGCCGACCATTGTTCACTTTCCGGTCGCTGCCGACACACAGTGGGCTAACCAACTAGCCACTCGGGTTCGTCACTCGCTCGTGTGGTGCGCCTACGTCCGGTTGATGCCCCATAGCTTGGTCGCTTCAGCTTAGTGATTAGCAGTCTGTGGCGATTAGCGACACATACATAGGCCAGCAGCAGTACTAGGCCGAAAGCTCACCAGCCACTAAGCCTTTCTTTTATCTTATTATTATCTTTTGTCCCATCCAACTGATAAGTGACTCCAGTGTCCATTGTGTTAGATCATCTACAACCACAATGGCATAATTTTCCTTCCTATACGAGGGGATGTGTCTGGGCGTGTCCACTTGAACCCTTTTTGACCTTGCATATGATTGATGAGAATGGTTCATGGTTCCACCAGAGAGAGAAAAGAAAGATAAATGGAGTTCTCGGGTGGGCCAAATCCAACGTGGCAGACTGCTCTAATATCCTCCCCATATATGAGCTTGGTTTAAGGTTTTGCGAACAACCCAATGATAAACAAAGTGTGGGTCCGGTTGGGAAGACATTTTAGTTCTCTCTCCTACCCGGGCACTGTCCAGAATATCAGCCCGAACATATAGGTTATAGATACGAAGTGGGGGGGTCGGGGTGTAGATCCTCTTACTTGTTCGTGTGCTTCCTTGTTTTGACAAAGGGTGGATTTATTAGCTAATGATGGATCATTCAGGAAATACAAATACAATGAGCACACACCCGGCCTTTGCATAGATATGATGCACACAACCAACAACAACAACACACAAACACACAAACCATACCAGCCACTAGCAAAGTCAAACAAGACCGAAGCTATGCCTTGGTGGAGTTAACAGGAAAAAAAACTTCAAAACGATCAAAACAATGATCAACTATAGCAACTATATCCACACCAACAATCTCTTCACATCACTACTACAATGAGAAGCATTCTCCAACAACAATGCCTTTAGTATGGAAACGACGCTCAAGCATTGCCTGTCACTGGATACGAACACTGAAGGCCAGATCATCGGGTTTCACCCCTACGAACAAGTCCGTGTAAATCCAAGCGATGCCTTCAAAAAGGTAAAGATAGAAAAAAACATTGCCATTGACATATTTAACCAATAAAGGTCAGGCCTTGGGTTTTCATTCTGGAGCTCAAGACCGATGCTTGAGAAGCGCCACCAAATTGAAGTCATCCTATGTTGTCGCCACCACTTCTCGCTATCTCGGCTACATGCATAACACGGTATTTGACATGAGATGCCACACAAGTGAATTCTATGGTCGCACAAGCAAGCAATCGAGCCATGACAAGAGTCGCTCGCCACCACGAAGGTCGGTGTCACACATTGCAACGGAGATTAAAAGAAGAAGGTCTCATGCACCGCAAAACCCAAGTCGGGATGCTCCGGCACTCCCGCACAATCCTCAAGCTCCGCCATTCTTGTCTGTGCAGAAGAATAGTAATCAAAACATACTTGTCGTTGCCGACAAATCTGAAATTTAAAGATCCCCGACCCCTTCTCGGCAATCATCTAGTAGTGCACGACAACGCTGTAACCTATGTGCCCAAACAGATATCTGGATACGGCAGGCTGATTTTGCCGCCCACGTACCTGCAGATAGGATTGTGGTCATCGATGTCTCACCACCAGAGACTGCCGACCCAGGCAGAAAATCCTGCGCCGTTGCTGCACATCCATGCTCTTTGCCTCAAGTCGCGGTCCATATATCGCATCTGTGGGTCAACAATACCAAATGCCAGATCGGGTCCAATCCGTGCTGCCCAAGGTGTAGCCACAGCATCCCCGACTACAATGCCATCGAGAGGCGCCGCACATCACCGTGTGAGTACCACCGCGCCTTCAGATCTCGGTCTTGCACTGATCTAGCCACATGATAACACCTTCCACACGCCCTAACACAGCTCCAGGACGCCAAGCCGCTGGAAGCCAAAGCTCGTGCCCCACGAGCGGATGTCATGCTCAGGCACCGGTCCCCGGAGGTACGTGGTCCCAACACGCGTGGATGCGCCTCCAAATAGAGGCTGAGGCAGCCGCAAGAGGAGTAATTAAAACACAGGAAAAAAATACCGTCATTGCATCTAGAAAATCTGAGCCATTCTTGGCCTAAAAAATCTGTGAAAATAATTATAGACGTATATTCCATGCATCGAGCAAGGCAATCTACTCTTTTAAAAAATAGATTAGTAAGTCAAAACATAGTGATGGTGAGACTATAGAACATTTTTATCGCATCAATGCAAGAGAAATGTTCTTAGATGCATCCAAGGATGCTATGCAGATCAAGCTCACGATAACCTCATGGACAAAATCCCATGTTAGGTTTCCCACAAATTGAACACACGACCTCGCATATGCTCACGCAAGCTCCGTGACCACAACAAACACACAGGGACACATCAGTTAAAAACTAGTAGGAGGGACGTACCAAGCCTCATGTATTTCTCTTATTGCATAGTATTTAATCGCATAGCATCCATTAGTCGCTTAATGAAGAGGTTCTTAGGAGATGAGCTTTCAGAAAATAAGATGTACTCCCTCTGTAAACTAATATAAGCTGTTTTAACGAAAGTTGACACATAGGTGAACCTGGTGTGCTAAACTGAGCAGTACTATGACATGCAAATGGTGTCGATAGCTAGGACTGTACACTCATAGGTCTTTTGCCACCCAATCACCTCCATCAATTATATCGTTGTCACATCTCCGCACTGCACAATGGTGCCAATGACCTGTAGAAATTTGTCGCAAACAGACAGAGTAACGTTTCCGCAAAAACAATGTCTTCTAGTTTGGATCTGAGAGCTCATATCTCATTAATCAAGGCTCACATTTGGTGCGGCAGCTCTGCCGAGTAGGGGCGTGGTGGGCGGGGTAGCCTCTGAGGGGCGCGGGAGGGCGGCGGTGGCACGAGGGTGGGGGTGGCGGTGCTTTCTAGCACTTTGAAGCATGGATCTAGGGACGCTCTGGGCCCTACGAGGTGGCCGTGAACTCGCAACAGCCTTGCACGGGGCAAGGTGGGTGCGTGTGGTCATGATGACGATGTTGTTCTGGCACAAATCTGGCCTCTGGCTGGACATCGGCAGGGTGGTGCAGGAGCATGGCTCTGGGGCGTGCAAATCTTACGTGAGCTTGCCGGGCGTCGCCGGTACATGAAGGGCTAGGCCGGCATTGGCACCACTTCGAGTCCTGGGGTGCCGTGAACGGCAGCTTCGCGATGTCGGGGCAAGGAGCGGGTGTGGCTATTTCGACCCCTCAAATCTCCAGCAGCTGCACGGTGGTAGGCATGGCGTGCGTTGGTGCATCTGATGATTGATTGCGGACAAGAACTATGGTGGTTCCTAGCCTCGGGTGCACTACTACAGATCCGAATAGTGCCGGTTGGCCCAATTGTATCTCACTAACACACTTTAGGCCCGTCAATAGCCCCGGGTCAGTGATGACTTCTCCATCACAGTGATGGACCTATGGGCTTATCAGTGATACATAGCTACCACAGACTACGGTCCTAGTGTGCATCTAAACTGCGACAGAGTGTGTTCATCACTGACTTCCTACTAACATGAGGCCAGTCCGTGATGACCAATAATTGCTTTTTTCAGCTTTGGGTTGCACTGGTAGCTATGATGCAAGCAAGACAGTTATATGCACATGCATAATACACAAGCAAATCCACATTCATCTCATAGAAGCATTGCATTTCATACATACATCATACACATGCACAAAAGTGTAGAGATAACATATGAATCAGATCGGTGAAACATAAAATTATCTTGACGTTTTGACAAAATGGATCAATGATGACGAGATCTCGGAAGTGATGCTAATGAGATTCCTCCAACGGTTGACCTTCCACTTCACCCATTGCGGTTGACATTACGGATAGATATGACAACGAATCAACGGGGCAGAGAAATGCAACGACTTTTGCCATGATTGCATAACTAGAAAATTTTATTAAATGTAATATTTCAAAGAAAAAACTTCTTAAATGTAAAAGAAACTAGATTAAGTGACAAACTTACAATTGCTTTAAAAATCACCGAGAAGGCCTAACTCAAGCCGCATTTCTTGTGCGATTTGGTCCAATCTTTTTGTGTGGTGCGCCTAAAATAGTGTAACGCCCCCTATCTAACATTTTTGGTGCACTGCAGAAGACAGGCTTACAAAAAAAATGTTATGTATAGTACACTAAAAGGCCACAACAGGAACGTTATTTTTCTGTATTCATGTTCACACAAAATAAAGAACATGCTCATTTTCTATACTTGAGTTGATTGCTATACTAGAGTTGAAAAACAGCAATGTCTACCGAACACTTGCATTAAAAGCTAGGCACGTACTTAGTTGCTAAGGTGACAAGTGTCATCATCGCTCAAGCTTACAAAGTGTTGTATTACTTGCCTTAGATATTACCCACACAATATCATATGCTAGCTGTTTTATCCGACGATATCACCAGAGAATAACTCAAACCGACTACTCCATTCCCACGACCATTACACATGCTCTCTAAAGAAATTCTTTGGTTGCAAAGGCGGTGTATTTACACGGTTGACATGACTGAAGAATCTGGCCACAAAGAGGGTAATATGAATGGTACGAGCTGAATTGTCTGTCTGGGTTATTATCTCAGAAATAGTGTGGACAAAATTACCAAGACATATATATTTGGTTTTTCCATCAGTCGCGATACAGATAAAAACTTACATACTCATGCCTTAAGTATCTAAATCTAGTCTTATTGTCCTCAAATAAAATTCCAACATGATTAGTAATAGAAAGTGACTAACAAACACTTGCATCCAAAGTTACACACATACTTCTTTGCTAAGATTACACGTTTTATCATTGGCAATACGAATCAACATTACATGTTTAATTTGGAAGTTATGGATAGGACTCTATTGTTGCCAATTTTATCTGTTTTGTTTCATTTCTTTCTGTCAGACTTTTGGGGATTGATTTTGTGCATCCTAGCTATGTACAGGTCGGGTGTTACTCACAATGCTTTGTATCCACTTGATGCTACATTTTAAGATAATAAAAACACCCTTTATCGTAAAAATAACATGCATAGCAAACCTGAAACTTCAACATTAATAGAAAGGAACAACGCTCACAATCATGGCCGCCGCAGCGGCCACATTACCCGAAAGCACATGTCGAGTCTACAACAATACTCACATGTGCAGGAGACCTGGTGTCAACCGCTAGGTGCAATGCAATGACGGACAAAGCCCACACGTGGGCACCAGCAACATGATAGGATGGCGGTGTCGATGATGAGATTGAAGGCATGGTTGTGCCATGGCCGATATGCGTCTTCGTGGCCCGCGGTGTAGCAGTGCGCCATCAGAATAGCCCTGAGTGATAGATCGGCGACGTGACAAGGGGTAGAAGAGGAAGGAATACATGTGAGGGTTTGGAATGAGGATTGGAAGTGGACAATTCAATATAACAGGCCGTGTAAAACACAACACCAACCGGCGGAAAAATCGAAGGGTCATACTTGAATACGGTACACAGACGGGTCAAAATTAGTGTTCATACGGTGATAGCGTTCTGTTTATTTTGTTCATCAGGAAACATTATCACAGACCGATCACTTTAAGAACGGCCTGTGATAACCCTCTGATCAAGCCATTAGCACCTTATCATGACAAGCATTTTTGGCCCATTCGGTGATGAAGGGTCAGTATTATTCCGATATGTAGCAGTGGCGGTGCTCCTTTGTTCCCCGCCGACATGGTGCTCGACAGGGAATGACGGCTCATGCTGCATCTAGCGGCCCTATTTCCAATTGACAATAATTTAAAAGAATTTGAATTCAAATATCAATAACAAATTTCGTTTGCCCAGTCATTCTCAGCCGAATCTAAGCATCCCGCTACCAGATCTAGTGCCTCATCATTCCCTCGGCCATGATTTTGCTGCGCACGCGGTGGTCCTTCCTCTGACCATGGTTTCTGCCATACGTGGCTTGGTATATTTCTGTCCTATGCAGCTCCCCTTCTCTGGGTAGATGGGTGGTAGCTCGCTCATTGTTGTTTGTTTTGATGTGCAACTTCTCTCTGGTCGACTTCCACCTATGTCGATACTATGCATGTCGTGTCGTGCGGTTGTCGTCATAGCACTCGTGCTGTCAATATTGGGGCTCACTTTAGGCTAGTGGAGGAACCATCTCAGGGCATGAGGTATGGAGTCAGCACCATGGTGCTTTTTTTACAAAGGGTGAATTCTATTGACTCAAAATGAAGCATCAAGTGGATTCAAACACAATGAGCACACACCCGGCCTCTGCACTCACACAGAAAACAAGCTAACAAATAGCAAAGTCATATATCACCGAAGCTATGCCTAAGCGAGGAAAAAGAAAGAAACCTGAAGCAATCAAATCCTTGATCGGCAATTTACAACTATGATCTTATCCGCACCAAACATCTTATGACAACACAAGGACAACGAGGCTCTTCAACAACAATGCCTTGAGGAAGGGAGCAACGCTCAAGCGTTGTCGTCACCAGCCAACCATCTAGGTTTTTACCCTAAAGAACCATCCGAACATATTTGAGCAATGCCTTTAACAAGGTAACAACGCAAAATATTGTCATTGCCAGGTATGACCAACTTAAGTCAGACCTAAGTTTTCACTCCGGATCTCATTGAAGTCACTCATGTGTTGTCATATGCACTTCCGTGATCCCAGCAGCTACATGCGCTGGGTAGAGAACCGACTGCCGCCGTTGCACAACCATACCTCTGCGTCAAGCCATCGCGCACAGATTGCATTTCACTGCCGAGTGAAACGACCATGGTTGGAGAGAGGAACCCTCGCGAAGATCTTTCGATGGCCACCTCAATCTGCAGCAAGGCCACAATCGTAGTCTAGAGTGGTCACGCGTTGCCGCCAGAGCCGCCGGAGATGAAGAATTTGGATCCGGCAAACCAACCAGTCTCAATCGCCACCTACACAAACGCGACCACCACAACACGACCATGGAGCGTACGAGCTTTACCACAGGGTTGTACAACCAGTGGCGGCCGAGGCCTAGCCACAATTGCCGCCATGGTCCGTGGCGGACCAAGTCTGGCAGCACCCAACCACACCGGCGGCAGGGATCACTTCCACCTGGTTGGACATTGAGGCCTAAATACCCAAGGTAAGAGCCACAAGGAGACCTAGCCAGGCCTGTGGCGGCTCAAGCAACACATGGGCAGCGAGATCCAATCGAGGCAGACCACTGCGAGCGAGAGATCCCGTCGCCTACCAATCAATGCAAGGGGCTTTGCCCTGCGGCCCTTGCCGACGATGGAGCTGAGAGGAGGTGGAGGATAGGCTAGAGCGGCGGCGGTGATCCTGGCGCCCGAGTCGCTTGCAGGATGACGCGAGGGCGTTCCTTTTTTTGTTTGGTGCCGCCCCGGCCCATCCACCTAGGCATGAGCTATTGTATTTTTTTCCTCCAACCACAAAACATAATGCAATGCCCCATCGTGGTCCTCTTCTTCTTCCTTTTCCTCTCTCTTTCCCTTTGTGGTCGTCTGCTTCCTCCTTTTCCTCTATCTTTCCGTTATCTCTCTTCACTTTTTTTTTGTTTTCCTCATGAAGCAGTCGACATCTCTGCAGGGGGCAGTCTGAGCTTTGGTCTGACACCCGAGCCAAGTTGGCATGCGGGGGCAGCTGGTTGAAGCCACCCGTCGGCCATGCGCCCATGCCCTTAGTGGGCATGTGCTTTTGCTGTCGTGGTCGTTTCCCTCATACACCCTCCGTTCCTTTATCTAAGGTGTATTATTTTTGGCACTGTGACCAAGGCACATAATTATAGACGTGTTAGGACAAAATTACCCTTGGCAAATTTATTGGTTAGTAGCAAGTAAATCAGTTAGTCCAGGAAAGTAAGAGATACGTGCAATTGACATAGAGATAGTTTCCTTCTTTTGGTACAAGGAGGGATACAGACAATCAGGAGAGATATACTTTTCTTTTTTTGAAGGGTTATAACAAAAGAATTATGAGGAATTAGAAGAAATGCACCTTACATTCTGAAATTTTATCAAAAAAATACACCTTATATAAAGGAACGGAGCGAGTATGTTGCAAGCTCCTTTGGTGTGTGGTCCCTGTTATTCCGTCTTTGGTTGCTGGTTCTCATACTAGGTCGCAGGTTGATTGCACTTGTGCGGGGATTCTTAGGTTGTTTGTCGTCATTTAGGGTCTGGTTCTCTTGTCATCTATGGTACTGGATTGGTGGTGTCATCTTTGGCATGTAATCTTCTTTCTATATGATGAAAACATGCACTTCTCCTACATGGTTCAAAAAAAAATTAGGAATTGTCAAGGTGTTGACATGTTAAAATTGCTCAATAAAAATAAAAGTCCAAATCTGTTCTATAGGGCAGGACAGCATGCAAATCCACCTCATGCATGACAAACTGGATTGCTTTCTTAGTTTTGCCAGCATGTTGCATGCACGCCGTGCATGTATCCACAAAGGTTGTTCTTTTCTTGGATTATTAGCATTGTATAAAAAGCTGAATTATAATTAATTAACATTCGGAGGTCTTACTTTTTATGCCAATCAACTGTGTATTGTGACTTGATTAACTGAGTCTACCTGCAGATCCATGGCTATATGGACGAGCTCTTTTGGCGACTACGACATCATCACGTGATCGCTGTGGGTGGGGCTGTTGGTGAGACAACTCTCTTAAAACAAGTCCACGACGGCATAAATAATCAGCATGTGGGATTCAAGGAGCTAGAAAAATTTGAGTGTTGTACATGGGTGGATGTACCCCATTCATTCAAGAGTAGGTACCAATTCGAATGGCACTTGGAAGATAAATGGAATCTGTCTCGTACAAAAAAGTGCATTTTGATTATAAACGGTCTGCAATCCATGGAACAGTGGGAGTCGATAAAGCCATACAACGTGGAACGGTATACTGGGAGTCGTATCATTTTGATTGCAAATGAAGAAAGTGTGGCCATACATTTAGAACATCTGAAAGCCAACACCGCCACTCGTCCCTTGACAAAGGTATTATAAGCTTCATTATCAGTGCCTTGACAAAAGTATTTATAAAAAAATTAAGTACATCATGCGGTAGTCGCTGATGTACTAACATTATTTGAGCATCTGTGCATCATATCATATGCTCGCCAGCACTAACTAATTAATGAGCAAAATGCTGCAAACTGAACTGCACCGGAAATCTTTGTCGCCTCCTTATTAGTTGTACATATTCTGGTGCTGGAAACATCAAATTTAACAGTTCTTTCTCCATCTCTCTCTTTCTAACGCACACATGTAGGCCTCTGACTACTATGGATATGGACATAACAAGGAGGCTTCTCGAAGTACCTTCTTGTCCAACAAAATGGAAGTGACTCCTCTGATCGCATCTCAAGTAGAGGCGTTTGATAAGATCCGGAAAATTTTACACAGTAATGGGTTCGCTTCGGTATGGGGCATTGCTGGTGTTGGGAAATCAACTCTTGTCAGAGGTCTATACACTGAACGGATGTTTGGATGTTCTGTCATTGGAAAGTTTGCATGGGTTGATGTGCCCGATCCCTTTGATTTGGTGGAATTTTCCAGGCTCTTACTTCTTGATTTGCATCGATGTGATCTTCAAGCAATGGAAGCTGCAGCAATTGGTATTATGCAGGGTCAGGACCCAATTCAAGGGTGCCGTGAAATTCTGCATCAAGATGGGTATCTCATCATTATTGATGGTTTGCGGTCCACCTATGACTGGGACTTGATCGAAACTACCTTTTTATACCGGCCTACTACAAACGTCAGAATAGTTGTCATCACAGCTGAGGAAAGCATCGCCAAACATAGTGTCAAGCAGCAGGCAGATCAAATGATCAATGTCAAATGTGTAGCAGATGGCGAGGCCTGTGATATCTTTAATAAGGTCCGTTTAATTGCTCTGAAACATTGCCATGCTCTATTTCCAGAAATTTTTAGTTTATTTCTTTTTTCTATAAAGTAGGCATTGATGGAGGCCGCAAGCTGGCATTAGGTTCCCTATTTCACCTCATAAGGTAGTATTGTTCATCTCTAAATCTATATCTAAACTATGTAGAAAAGACGTAAGGTCCTCTATTTCACCCTCCAGTATTCCATTCCCCGCCTTCGTCCACCCCCTAACATGACCACGTATGTTCTCCCCTCCTTCCCTATTCCTCATCGCTTTGATTTACCCCTTCCCACATCAGGTTTTTCCCACTGGTTTTCGTTGAAAATCATGCACATCTTATTGGTCAATCAGGAGGCGTTATTTACAATCACCTCAAATAGCTATCGATTGGAAGGGGTAAATCAATTGGAGCCGTTTTAGAAACACGCCTCAAAAGCTGCGCCAATCGAAAGCGATTTTGGAAAGCGCCTTGAAAACTGCACCAATCAAAAAAAAATTAAGACGACTCCAAAGCCGCATCAATTTTAGGCGAAATCCCCCAAAACACCTCCTTAAAACCACTGAAAAAAATAGTGTGCTATAGCGCCGCTAATAGCACGCTATAGCGTGTAGAGAATTGTTTCGCTAAATTGATCAGTGTAGCGCCCTATAACACGCAAATAGCATATTTTTAGGGGCGGCCCTATTTTGTGTAGCGCGCTATTAAAACATGATTTGTGGCGTTTGGCCATAACGCCTTAACCAAAAGGTGGGCGCTAGGCGCCGGCGGACTGGCCCAAATTTTGGCCGGTCGCCGCGCTCCCGTTCGATTCGAGCGACCAGGAGTCCAGTACCGTTTGATGCCCTTTCCTCATACGTGTGTCTGCGTCATTCTCCTGCGCTTCGGTTCGTGAAGGAAAAATTCCCTCCGTGCTGAGATGCGCAGGACCCAACTCCGACAACGGCAAAAACAACCAGCGGCCGTAGACCCCGGCTGCGTCTTGTCCATCTCCCATGCTGTTCCTTGTCGTCTTGCCCATCTCCCATGCTGTTCCTTGTCGCCGGCCTGCACACCGGCGTCCGCCGTCTCTCACCATACCTCGCCTCGCAGCAGCTCGGCACATCGTCGTTTGCACCGGTCAACCACGGTTGCAGCTACATCGAAGCCACTTGTAGCAAAATCATCATCCCATCAAGCTTGCATCACCCACCGGCGCAGTGCATCGCCGTGGTCGCGCGGTCACAACGCCATGGCTCACCCCTTGTTGCCGGTGTGCAAAATGGTTGCAGCATCAATGATCGCCGGTTCCAGCAAAAATCTTCAACGGTTCCAGCAAAATATGTGTTGCCGGTTGCACTTCCGCTGAGCCGCTGCGTCACCCATCAGCAAAAAAACTTGTCGGTTGCAGCAAACTCGAAAGCTCATTTCAGCAAAAAATCAAATGAAGCAAACATGCCACGGCCACCGTCTCCGCCAAGCATCAAAAAAAGTTGCCCATTGTAGCAAAATCGAAAGCTGGTTTCAGCTAAAATCAAATGAATCAAAGAACGTTGGGGCCACCGCCATCTCTGCCCAGCACCATCTTGCCGGATGTAGCAAAAAAGTAAGCTGGTTCCAGCATTGTCGCATGGATTTGTAGCACTCCCGGTGGCTGGTCCCAGCATCTCGGATAGTCGATTCCGACAGAACAAGCCGATTCCAGTATCGCAGCTTCGCGTGTGCAGGTGGTAGCCAGCACAGCGACAACTCCGGCGTGGGCGAGTGGCTTGCAGCAGCGCTGCCGTAAACTCGCTGGACTGCCTCGTGAGGTCCAAAACGACATCCGGCCGTGCGCAGGGGAGATTGGTGAAGGGCGGACGATGGCCACCAGAATGACGGTGGGCTGCATAGCAAAGTTATGGATTCAGCCTCATGCGGTTGGGCCGTTGGGTGGAAGAAAGAAAATGAGAGAGGAGACGAACCAAAAGAACAGGGAAAAGGAATGGCGGATATCACGCGACGGAGGATAAGGTTTGACCAGATCCAAGAATAAGCGGTGCCTGTCCAGAGCGTATGTGCGAGCGGCGCGCAAGTTCGGCCGGTCAGCCGATTATAAACGTTTCCCTAACCAAAATGTCTTCTTTCAACAAACGTGTTGTAAAGAATTGCCTTCCCAGAATACCCCCGAAACATGTTTGACCAGGTCCCCCAGCCCTACCGGACCCATCATCGGTTTGCGCAAGCATCTCGTTTTTTAAGAAGGATAACCCGGGCGCATCAGGACGAGCATGCGGCCATATATTATTAAGAATGCAAAATTCAGCAGTCGAACAATATCGACCCAAAAATAAAGGGAAAAGAAAACCCGAGGCCGCATTCCTCACGACATTAGCTCCATGAGATAGCCACTAACCCTATGTTACAAGATGACATCAAAATGAAAAATACATAGCTCCTAGGCTACGCCTTCAACAAGAAATCGCTGCACATGCACTGGTGATGTCGAGTAAACACAAGTTTGAACTCCAGATTCTCATCCCCGAGGGCAAACTTCAATCCACCACCTTCAGCAAGGATACAACGCAGGTGCGTGTCGACATAGCTTGATCAGAGATTTTGTGTCTCAGACCGGAGTGCATAAAGTCTTCTCTAGATGTTGTTGACTGCTTGATAACCGGATACCTCTAGAGAAGACACCAGAAGGCAGACGTCCCATACCGCCTTTCTCCTGTCACTGTCGCATCACCTTCGATTCAGCAGCAACAGGCTAGATGTGAGATCTCCATCAGAGCCACCGTGCAGCACGTGCCAGTAGCCGACATGACTTGACGCTACGGTATGAGATGTCGTGCATAGCATCCATGGTTGATGTATACGTCTAGATACCCCATCATGCGTTCTAAGACCTGGTTCATAATAGAAACAAGTATTGGTCCATCGCCATCCATGGAACCTTAGATCAACATCAATGACCTTGTCCAAGTTGATGGTCATAACCCTGATGCAATTGACGTTAGGAATAATAGGAGGCTCGCAAAGGAAACATTGTCCACTTGTCCATTAGTCTACTGCCTAGGGTTAGACCAACCATTGGGCTATTTCCGTTATTATGTATATATCGAAACATGTATTATCTAAAAAAAACTGTTACATATATCCTCTTACTGCCTAGATAGGAGCCGTTGATTCCATTTAGTAGTGGGTCTATGTAACTCGTACCTTCTTACCTTCCATGTGAAAAGAAGAGGTAAGAGGGACCATGTTAAAACTTTAGCATGCTCCCTCTTACCGCCTCTTTTTACATATGAGGTAAGAAGGTAAGAGTTAATTAGACCATTATTTAATGAGATTAATGGCTCAGATCTGTTATGTACTCTTACCTCTTATGTGAGAAGTGGGCGTAAGAGGGAGCATGTTAAAACTGCTCAAATCCTAATTTGGTTGCTGGTTATATACCCTAAAGCACAAACTTTTATATAGTCCAAGCACATATTGCATTTTTTCTAAAAAAATTTAAGAAATCAATTGTTCAACTTTGTATCTACCACAAACGCCTGATATAGGGTTCAATGACAGATTAAGCAAGAAAGGTCAATAAAAATTTGTTGATTACTAAAATTTGTGGAGTGGTAGAATGTCGACAAAAAAGTTCCACTCCCAACCCCGTGTCCGCCCCTCCCTGGCAACTCAGAGCAGTACAATATTTTTTTTACTGAGTTGGAGGAGAGAGAGCGGAAAAAATGTGTTGTAGAAGAACCGCCAGCTGCAACACGTACTTGTAGAAAATTTGTGTGAGTGTAAAGTGGCCATAGTAGTATATATTTATAGCTAACTACTGCCAGCTATACTATTAACCATGCTGTA